TATTATATCTAGGTGTAGCTTTTGATGAAACCAAAGAAATAGAAGGAAGAGAAGGATAGAATATTCCAAAAAGCACCAAGGATCATTAGAGGGCTGTAGGGAAATTAGCCAACCAACTGCCATGGAGTCAGTTCTGACTCTTTCTGAACCTACCGAACAGAGGAGAACTGCTCCTTGGGATTTCTGAGCCTGTAAATATTTTCAAGACGGGGTAGTCTTCTCTTTCTCCCACTGGACAGCTGGTGGGGTTGGACTGCTGACCTTGTAGCTCTCAGGCTCACACATGACCGATGATGACACCAGGGACACCAGGTTAAATTTTGAATCTCCTTGTAGCACACAACATCCCACTCTCATTTCTTATTCTCAAATTAGTGAGTCCTAGGTGAACTTAATTGGAATATTATATTTTCTGAAACACCGATTTCCAAATAAAGATATTTGGAAATCCGTAGCAAAAGAGCTCATAGAAGAAACTTTGTAGTGATTGCATTTCCAACTGTTTTTTTCATTTGGTTTTAAGATTTCCCATTTTGGGGTAAGTTTGGAACAATCTACAAAGGATTAGCTAGTCCTTATGCCAATTTTCTCCATTCTACTCATAGTCTATGTTGTTACCATAGAAGGTCTAAAGGGTTTAAATAGAATGTACTCTCTCCTACATGTTGAATTCATTGCAAAAGCTTTGAAATCTGGAAAAACCAAATCAGATTGAAATATAGAGAGATTTCACTTCAAAGTGAGTATCTCTATCTTGGATGCAAACTGGTATCTTGAAACCTTCCCTTGAAGTGTCTCATTGCTAGAAATTTGAGTATATTGTCTTCCCAATGCTTGATATTACCCTGCATCTCTTCAATTGTCCCCCATAGAGGTTGACCTCATAATCCCACTTCCAGGTGCTTCATTGTCTACTGTTTCCCAGTCTTACATCAATGCCATGTCTTCTTCCAACCTATTTCCACAGAGCACCAGGCTGGTCTTTCTCCGTGACGCATCTGCTTAAGTCCCTCTCTTGCAGATGTCCTTTCAAGGGCTTTTCAAACCAAACTCAATGCCATCAGGTCAATTCTGACCCAGATTGACTACATAAAACAAAGCAGGACTGTAAATCGTTACGGGAGTAGAAAGTCTCGTCTTTCTCCTGAGAAGTGGCTACTGGTTCTGAAGTAACCTTGTAGTTAGCAGCCCAATGAGTATCCTCCACACACCAGGGCTCCAGGGCTCCTATCTCTGCTATAATCAAACTCTAACCCACCTAGAAGACCTTAATGATATTCATGATCTGGCCTTGCCTGCCTCTCCAAGTTTCCTTCTAATCTGCTGCTCAGCTTCCATTCCTTGGTTCTTTGCAGATAGTCACGTTGCATATATCTTCCTCTGTAGTGGCTCCCTTAATCTGATCCCTTTATAACTCAAAAGAGATTGACTCAAAACACATGCTATGCTAACATTATACCACTTATAGAACAAAAACATATATCTTCTAAAGTGGGGTGATAACCAAAGGTACTCAACACTCACTGCCATCGACTTTGTTCCAACTCATCGTGGCCCTGTAGAGAGGGTAGGATGGCCCTGTGGGTTTCCAAGATGGTAACTCTTTAAGCGAGTAGACAGTCCCTTCTTTCTCACTCAGAACAGCCAGTGGTTTGGAACTGCTGAGCTTGCGGTTACAGCCCATCATGTAACCACTACACCACCAGGGCTCAGAGCAGGGGCACAGGTGGGGCATGGGGTGGGAGGGTGGGGGTAGAGCGACACAGTTCAATCCATAACAGAATTCATCCTAAGAAATTAGAAAAAGCACAGATGAGATAACCCCAAAGAAAGTAGAAATTCATGAACTGAAATACTGAGATAGCAAAAATTCAAGAAGTAATGCTTCCAAAGAATTAATTTGGCATGATTGATGGGAAGAAATATGAATTTGTGTTTATGTTTATATAAATTTATATACATATATGTTAGGAAGGGAAATATCAACCAGAATTTTTATAGAGTCATTAGCAAATATTAGGAAACAGACAGTTTTCTAAAAGCGTATCGTTTATGTGACTCAAGGGGGAATAAAACCTGTCGACTGCATAGGTGTCATATCACTACTGAAGGCTGGGAAAGAAACAGCTGTTGTCTGGTGTGGTTAGGGACCCAGTCACTTTCCCTCTTTAGGGAGGGAATGCCACCTGATGCTCTCAAGCTTCCCTTGGGTTGGACAGGTTCCAAGGCTCCCCTCCCCGCTGAGGACGCTGAACTTCAGACACACAATGAAAGTGACTCATAGGCTGCAGACATTGAAAGAAGGCTCAGCACAAGGCCACCACTCCAATCAATGTATGTACTTAAGGCTCTATCTTCATAATCTCAATGAATGGAATGTTGACACTCCTCATTAACAGGAAGATGGGGAAAACATGTTTTTTTTTGGCTGCTCTTTTCTGCCATCGTTGATACTAGTTGGTGGCACAAGGAATGTCCCTTAGGTGCAGTGTGGAAGCCCTACCGCACAGCATGGGACCCTGCCAAGTCCAGGGCTCACAAGGCTTGATGAACTTGGCATGCAGATGGTGCAGTGGGGATGGCTTCTGCCCACCACGGGTGGCGGTCCAGGGATGGCATTTGAAAGCGGGCACAGCACAGCTTTCCCGGGGAAACGACCGGTGACTTTCCCACCCACGGGCCCCAGGGCCGAGTTGCTGCTCCAGGACGGCGCCCCGCGAGCCGCAGCCGCAGCTCCGCCCTGGTCCTGGCAGTGTCCCCAGATCCTCGCCCCTCCCTGCCGGCCCACCTCCTCGGCGTCCTGGCCCAGCGGGACGCCCAGGCTCCGGAGGCCCTGCTGCAGCTCGCCGATGTCCACCACGCCGTCGCGGTTCCGGTCCAGCTGCTGGAAGAGGCTCTGGTAGCGCGTGGGCTGCTGCTCGTCCTGGCAGGCCGCCATGGGCAGCACAAGGGTCCCCAGCCAGCGCAGCATGGTCCCGCCGCGAGAGAGACAGAGACAAAGAGACCGAGAGAGAGAAGCTCCCAGGCCCGCGGAGCCCTGGTCACCTCCCTGGAGGACTCGCACGAAGGCTCCAGCCGGCCTGGGAGGGGCCGCGGCGGCGGAATGGCGTTTGGAGCGTCGTCAGGGGCGCGGCTACTCGGGGACCCCACCCGCCCCGCTGCCGCTGCTGCCGCTGCTGCCGGGGAGGAGCTGGCAGGCGGATCAGGCGGTGCCCGCAGAGGGGGCGGGAGCGGGGGGCTCAGGGAGGTCAGCTGTCAGGGGTGCAGGGACCAGAGGGAGTCCCCAGCGTTTGTGAGTTTCAGCTTCAGGAAGCTGCTTCCAGGAAGCGCAGTGAGGGCCCTTTGACAGAACTAGAGTCTGAAATCTGAAACTAAATCTGAGCACTAACGTTATTGATTCCATGTTTGTAAAGGCTCAAAACGGGTTAAAAAACTTGTGTGATCATGAGGTATGGACTGGAATAGGTATCAGAAGTTCAAAACCAACCCATCAAATTGATGTGAAGAAACGTAGGCTAAGTGGAGACCCCCAAACCCACCTGTGAGATATTGGAGAGTCCCTCACAGAAAGACTAGATGGGAGGGAAGTTATATCACGGATGAAACCCATAGCCGTCTTCTAGTTCTTTAATTTCTTCCCCTTAGTACTATGGTTCCAGTTAGATCGTATTAAGCTTGCTAGACCTGCAAGTATTCATTTGTATAATGAAGATCGTTCTGGGCATGAAATCCAAGACAGATAAACCCCTCAGAAATTGTAATGAGAGCAAAAAATCCTGGGGGATACGAAAGAGGGGGAATGGGGAATCAATAATAGAGATGAACTTCTAACCCCACTCAGGGAAACAAATAACAGAATTGTAGGGGAACAGATACAGTAGATGGTGTAAGATATAGCAAATAATAATAATAACTTTATAAGCATTAAGGATTCCTGGGAGGGGGGGTAAAGGGGAGCTGAAATCAAAGAGTTCCAGAAGAAATAAAATGTTTTGAAAATGATGGTGGTGGTAATTGTACAATTATACTTGATCTAATTGAATAATGGACTGTCATAATATCTGTAAGAGCTCCCAATTAAAGGATTTTTTAAAAAAAGAAACTGGGTACATTCAGGCCCAAACTGTCTGCATATGGTGGGGGATATTTGGGAACCCAGTTTTCCTACCTGGAGTGTGCTTTGAAGAATCACCCTTAGTGAACTGGCCATAGATGGTTTTCTTTGCTGAGAAATGGGGCATGTCTGGCTTGTCTCACACCGTTTTCTCACGCTTTCCTGTGACTCCGCAAGACACTCACTTCACTTTTCCACTCACAGAACTCAGGGAGATGATTCTGACTCACAGTGGCTCCGTGGGACAGGCTGGAACTGGTCTTGCCAGTGTCTGAGGCTCTGGCCAGCAGAGCAGCTGCTGGTTTCCAGCTGATGAGTCTGAGGTTAGCATCCCGGTGCACAACCACTGAGGCCCCAGGGATCCTGAGTTGGCTTCTATTAGCAACGAGAACTGCAGGGGTTAGTGATCTGTGGCTGCACACCTTGGAATGTAATTTGGTTTTAAGACACAGAGGAGTTCTGTTTGTGAGCACCCATTAAAGAAATGAAAGGGCCTTTTGAGAAATGATCAGCACCCGTCCCATCTGGGTGAACAGTAGTAAACAGAGGACAACTTTGTTATTTAAAAAACAACGTAATTGGCATGATCTTAGACAAATCAAAGCAAGTGCCTGGCATGGTTTCAGAAAAGTATCAAGCTGGGTCTAGTCCAGAGGCATGGAGTTTACAACGCAGGTAGGACCCAACTTCCATCAGCACAAGGATAGATAATAAAAGGGACATTAGACTAACCTTGATGTTTCAGCTAGATACACTTGAGACATGGCTTTGACTCAGAGACAAGAAGAACATGACTATCTGAGTCACCCTACACAATGTCTGCTACACTTGGTGTGTGTAAGGTCTTAGTATTCTAACTTGCCCATCACAGGAGATGTCAGTAATTGTGATAATCTGTTATCCACAGTTACTTACCAGAAACTCCCATGCATTCCTGTACAGTTGTTGGCTAGGTTCTCTCAGCAGGCTCTGAGTCACCAAAGACCACTTGTTCCCGCAGAAGGCAGGCACTCTGGCTCTGCACCTACCACCTTCACCATGTTGTGTGTAAGAAAGAGGAGTTTGCTGTTGGAAAGGTCTACAGCCTTAGGGGAAGTTCTACTCTGGCTTACAGGATTGCTATCAGTTACAATCAACTCTATGGCAGTGGATTTTGTTTGGCTTCCTGTAACATTTTATATGTTTAAGACATTTGCAAATCTAGAGTTCATTACTAGAATCATCTTGAAACCAATTTATCTGCTTTCATTACACTCAAGTTCTAGTTTTATCAAAAATTATTGCCTTCTATTGGGCTAGATTTCAAACTTCATTAACATGTGTATGAATACTCTCTATTTGAAATCATACTAGACTCACTTCTTTTACTTTCTTCTTTTTTACAGCAATCAGAAGATTGTCAACATCTTTACTGAGAACATGTTTGCACAAAAATGTGCAGGGGAATGTTCGTAGCAGATCTGTACTGCTTCATTTGTCATCACCAAACACAAGAAAACAAATGTTCTTTGATGGGTGAATCTATAAATCCGGTTATATCCATAAAGTGGAGTACTACTCATCCATAAAGTGAAACAGACTATGAATATGAGCAACAATGCATGTGAAAAACACCTGATTCAAAAGGCTATCTTGTTTGGCTCCATTTATATGGCCTTCTAGGAAATACAAAGGAGCATTGACTGTCATGGGCAGGGGACTGAGGAAGGGACTACAAAGCTCTCTGGAGGCATGAAACTGGTCTGTCCTTTGATTATGGTGTTGCTTACAAATGAGTAAAGGGAATTTGAATTCTTGTTTCTAGCTCAAAAGAGCACTGAGAGGGTCACAGTCATTTGTGACAGCCCTCAAACTCTAAGCCAATGGTTTATAACCTTCCTAACGCAGCAACCTTTAATACAGTTCCTCATGTCGTGGTGACCTCCCAAGCATAACATTATTTTCATTGCAATTTCATAACTGTAATTTTACTACTGTTATGAATCAGGCAACCCCTGTGAAAAGGGTCGTTTGACCCCCAAAGGGGTCGAGACCCACAGGTTGAGAACCGCTACTCTAAGCCTTGCTCCTGAAATTGTGGTCCATTGACAAGCTGCATCAGCATCACTGTGAGTTTATCAGAAATGCGAATCCCAGGACCACTCACTAATGAAGAACCTACATTAAGCAAGAGCTCAGAGTAGTTCTTTTGTATACTGACTGGGTATCCCTGATACCCAGAGCACAGCGGATTTTGTACACCTATGTCTGTTTCCAACTCTTGTGCAGGGGTTGACAAACTTTTAAGACGGAAGAGCCAATCCGGTTCCTCATAACAATTTAAAAATCATTTGAGAGCCTTAAATATATTTTTACAAACAAATGAAATCACCATTATCTGAATAATATTCTTTCAATGAAACTTTGTATGTACATATGGTTGCCAGCTGCAGTTTTCAGATGCCTGGTCTGTAAGGCAAGTCAGAGAGTGAGAGAAAGCATGTAGAAACTTAATAGCAATTTGATCATTTTATGCTTATTGATTTAATACACCACTCCTCTCTTATTGACATAATTAGGTTACAAAGACCAGTCCATATGTGAACTCTGCAGTGTCTGAGAATGGATAACATCCACATCAGATCACGAAATGAAGGGTAATTAATAACTGCCAAATTACACCATTACATACCTGCAAAAGCACTCAGAATAATGGCTCTGTCAAGGTTGCAACAGAGAAATGGTGGCAGCAGATCCAGGAAACTTGACAGGAGACGGCGCACTGAGCTTCCATATCCACATAGCAAAAAAGCAGAGTGCCTTCAGCTCAGAGGCTGGCGGGCTGTGTGGGCTGCCCCCTGGCACTTGCTGGAGCTATGTTTATCGATCCATCAAGTTAGAACTGAGCATCTATGGACAGAGGATTCACTGCTACAGTGGAGCCTCTGGGTATTTATGAAGAGAACTAAAGGAGCTTTGTAAAATCTCCCTAAGCAGGAAGGAGCCCTAGGGATCCTGGGGCTGAAAGACCAGCAGCCAGCAGGAGGAGTGCCTGTGCAGGCGCTGCTGGCCAGAGACTATCCTGATCACAGAACTGCATCCTGAGTCTTTTCTGATCATGACTTACAACCTGTGACTTCCCTGACAAATCCAAAATCGTGAGTTATGTCGTGAGCTCTGTGTGGCCATTGCATTGAATCAAGCCCAGCAGGGACCCTCGTGCTGTGATAGAGTCAGTATCAGAATGAGCTCTTGGGTTGTAGCTGGAGGCACCTCTGACATCATCCTTAGGCTGTTGGTCTTGAACCTTCTTCCCCTTTTGAGGTGAGAAGAGGTCAGACACCACCACTTCATTTTTACAGAAGGAATTACCAAACTATGCAAACTTTCCATTTTGCTTAAAGAAGAGAAACAGACTCAATGATTTGGTAAAATATCAATTTTAAATGCACTGATTTTTCTTTTAGTGTATAAAACATTTCAAGCTCAGCTTTTAAAAAAGGATTTATATACAAACTGGTTAGCATAAACTGTGACAACTGACCAAAGATTTTATGTTACTGTGTGGGATATCTAAATTCAATCACAAAATAATTTCAAGGTAGACTTAAAGGAGAATTGTGGGAATTCTGTGGATAAGAAGGATTTTAAGTTATTAAGGAACTTTATCAAAATAATTATTTAATATAGAGATTTTGTAATATATAAAACAAAGGGAAAATTTTTCATCAACTCTGTCATCTTTCCTTTTATGGAAAGATAAATATTTCTTTACAAGCAAGGTTTTATAATACAATTAGGTGATTGTGGTAAGGACACAATGCAATATTTCACTTCTATGTTAATCCCACAATGGGTTTCATTTTTTCATGAGCCACACAGCTAATGCCCACTGCAGGAAGCACTTTTATGATATTTGGGGTAATACCCCTGAAAAATCCCCTTTTTCCTTCTTTTTGATATATTTCTTGAATGAGATGAATCATGGAAGTTATTGGTCCTCCTTTCACATGGGCTATATAATGAGAGAAAAAGTGGTAGAACTCAATATACAATGTATATACATTAACACAGTCCAATGGTAAAAGAGAATTTATAGAGGTCTAAATAATTTCAGAATCTCTCCACACACACACACACACACACACACACACACCTATATAATAGTGCTGTGTTGTCTAATACAGCAGGCATTATATATTTACATCTATTTATTTACTGTTAAATTTAAAGTTTTTACTGGTGCCACCAAGTCAATTCCAATGCATAGAGACCACTGGTGACAGAGCAGCGCTCCCCCATAGGGTTTTCTTGACTAAAGCAGGTCACCAAGTCTTTCTCAGAAAGAGCTTCTGAGTGGGTTTGAACTATCAGCCTTTGGGTTAGCAGCCAAGCACTTAACCATTGTGCCAGCAGAGTTCCTTAAATTCTAATTACAAAATTAAACTAAAAGTTCTGTTCCTCAGATGCCCTAGCGATATAGAAAACTTTTGATAGCCATATATAATTAGTGGCTAGTCATATCATTACAGAAAATACTAAGATATAATCCATTAAGAACCTCAAAGGAGCTTTAGGAACCATGAAAGACATCATTTGATAGAAATATGGGTGGGCAATTGGATGGATACAGAAATTTGTCATCTGAATTACAATGGAAATTCAATTTTAATATCTAATGAAAAAAGAATGGAAGAATGTATAAGAATATTACTTACCACATGATTCCTTAAATATTTTACTCAGAAGATAATAATAAAACTATGTGGCTGGTTTTTTTTCTCAAAAGGTGATAAAGATATTTTCTTAATATCCAAGTAACTACTATTTCACTCAGGAAGCAATAAAGCAGATGCCCTGTCTTTACTGATTCTACATGGATCAGAAGATAAATTTATCAGAAGATCAATAATGGAGTTCACTTTCACAAATGTACTGAGTGCTCCCTACAGCACAGGACAGCAGAAGCAGGGGAATTCCCTGTCCATGTGCAGTCACTGTGCAGACAGCAGGACTGCATCTGTTGTCCTCTAGCTCCCTGCCATCGAGCTGATTCCATGTCCCAGTAGCCCTACAGGACAGAGTCAAACTGCTCCTGCGGGTTTCCGAGGCTGTAAAAGGCCTCCCCATTCTCTCTTGGAGCAGCTGGTGGGTTCAAACCACTGACCGTGCAGTTAGCAGCCCAACATGAAAGCCATTACGCCACCGGGCTCCTGCTTGTTCCATGTGGCCGTACCTCATTACAACCCGTTTACAGAGCTCAGCAGTAAGGGCATAGGGAGGGTTCTAACCACTACGTGGGGGAAGTCATAAACTCTATAAACCACAAAAGGCTCGTCAGTAAAAGATGAATTCTAGATTCATACTTTATAAGTCAAAGATTTTGATGTAGTAATCATTTCTACTCTTTTTTATCATTAATTTTAATTCATTGAAAATATACTTCTATAACTTAGTTATCATTACTTCATTGAACAGAAAACAACTTACCTTGAGCCTGCAATCGAGTTCTAAGTAGGTTCAGAGGAAAGCTGGCTAACTGACCACAAGTGCTGGACAATGTACAACATGCCAGCAAAATCATTACCCCCGGGTTTACTGAGTTCTTGGCATAATGTTCGAGCCAGTAGTTCTTCAAAAGCTGTCAGAGAAGAGAGTAGTGTGTTAGCCTTTGTTCACTACCTTTCAAATTCTTGAGCAATTTCTTTATGAAAATAAATACCTAGAATTTCCATAAATGATAATGTGTTTAATACCTATAGATATGTAATGAGTCAACACATTTGTTCTACTTGATACATTTCATAAATGAGAAAACTAAATCAGAAAGACTTAATTATCAGGACCAGTCATAATGTTTACAAATGGAAGACAAACTTGTTCACTTAATCTCAATAACTTGATTTCAATTGTTCTTGCCAAAATCTTTACAAAAGATTCATTTCCACTCCTGGTTACACACAAAGGGGAGGGGCCTGCTG